GGGCCCGGCCCGGCCGGAGCGCCCCGCGCCCGGCCGCAGCGGCGCCTCTTCCCAGCAAGAACACGCGTGGGAGCAAAAACCCCTCCAAAGAGGCGGCCGTTTTCCCGAGGAAAACCTGGAAGCGCCTTCCAGCTCTGTGGGGCTCAGGGAGGAGCAAAGCCGGAGCGAGCGCTGACCTGAAGGAGAACAACCCTCGGCAAAGGGGGCTCCGGGTAACCGGCTCTCTCCACCAACACGGGGCTCTCTGTCGCGAGAGCAGCGGCGCTTCCGTCCACTGAAAAGCTAAGCTTAGCAAGGACGCACCGTCGGGTCCAATTTCTCACAATGTTTAATTAAGGACACGGAACAAGAGGGCAATTCTACACAAAATAAGGGTATTTAAAAGGCTGCAAATGAACAGAATTCACTCGYGAACATAAAGTCAACAGAATAAACCCCTCAGGAGCTTCAAAGAACACGTGCCTGTCATGTATAAAAGAAGTGCTCTCCAAAAGAAGAGCAGCCAAACGCCAGGTCGCATCCAGGCTTAAGGAAACGGAAAGACTAAGAAACATCTAAAAACGTGGCGGTTTGACGAGCGAGCCGAGCTCCGGGGCGTCATTCACCGCGAACGCAAATGAAACGAGCCCCAGGATCATCCCGTGCTGCCGCTTCCCCCGCGGTTTCCTGCTTGGAAACAGAAAGCCCTCGCGGGAAGYGCGTGTCCCGTTTGTCACATCAACTGCTTTACCTTTTTTACAGGCCTCAGGTACCCCGTCCCCAACGTAGAAACCCTCCCCCTTTGCCCCAGGGTCTCCCCAAAGTTTGGGCTCGTAACACAGAGGCGCAAGGAAGGATCCATCATCGACGCCGTCGGTCGGGACTCCTGCTCCGTCGGCGGCCGCCCCTGCAAGAGGCGGAGCGGAGCGTGGAGGGGGGCGGATGGCAGGACCCCGACCCGGCCGGGGGGTTTGGGGCAGCGCCCGCCCCTCAGCTCCTCCCCAACACACAGGGCGCCCAACCCACAGCGTGTTCCCTAGGAGGGTCCCTGATAACGCCCATGTTTCCCCTCCCCGTGTTCCCCTGGCCTCCCAGCCCAGCCAGGGGGTCCTCCCAGGCATCCACCAGGAAGAAATCCCTCATTCTGGTTGAAACGGCGCAAGCGCCGAGCCTCTTACCGCCTCTTGCTCTTGGGGGGCCCTCTCACGAAGCACCAGTCCACGCTGATGGGCTGCCCCATCAGCTCCTGCCCGTTCAGCCCCTCCATGGCGGCCTGGGCCTCCTTATAGGTCTCGTACTCGACCAGCGTGTATCCCTGGCGGGAGGCCGAGGTGAGGCCGGCCCGGGGCCGAGGCCGCGCTGGGGAGCGGCGCGGCCGGCCTGGCAGCCCCTACCTTCAGGTAGCCCGTCCGCCGGTCCAGGTTCAGGTGGATGTTCTTGATCTCGCCGTACTCGGCGAACTTGTCGTGGATGTCCTCCTCGGTGGCCTCCTCGTGCACGCCCGTGACGAAGAGAATCCAGCCTTCGACGGCTGCGGGGGGACACGGTGACGGGGGTGCTCCGCCGCGCGGGACGGGAGCCGCGTGTCCCCCCGCCGTGTYCCCCCCGGTACTCACAGCGCTGCGGGCCCGGCTCGTCGCCGTCCTGCTCCACGCTGTCGTAGTCCTCGCGCGCCCGGGCCCGCGAGCCCTCCTCTGCGTACGGGGGGGTCCATGGGGGCGGCTGCGGCCGGCCGGGCCGGGGGGCCGCCCGG